AAAACACACCTTGAAAGTTGTTTCGATTCTTTTATGCATGTTTGAGAAATCTGTTAATCTCCCATGGCAACCATTCAGCTGTGTGACACACCTGAGAGGACCTAGCTCTGCTTTTGAGCAAGAGCAGGAGTTTCTTAAAGAGACGGAGGCCCAATTTTAAGGCGTTAATTATCAAAGTCAAATATCCACAGCTGTAACAAGGATGGATCTAAATATAATCAGTATTCTTATCATCTGCAGGCCAAAAAAAGCACTTATTTTTGCAGGTACATACAGTCATATTTGATCAGTTACAATGCATTGCAATAAGGCTCATTTGAAATATTAAAAGCAGAAACCATTGAGGAGGTATTAAACATACTTTTCATTATATTGCTGCAGCGCAATAAAGTTATTTTTTTAATGGTCTGGTGTAATGTTCTAACTTTAAACATCACATTCTCATTAACTGTAAGCAGAAAGTTGTCACAATTAACAGAAATAAAGTCTTTCAAACATTCATCTGTGTGCAATTAAAGCTACATAGTCATAAAGCTCCTGAAATAAATTAACTTTTCTATAATATTCAAAGCTGTTCAATATGTGGATGATGAGTACTGAGCAAAACCTGGAGCGTGAAAGCCAAACAGTGATGCTGGGGGCTGCTAAGGCAGATTAGACAGTAAAAGAAGACAAAATACGCAGCGAGACCCGAGGGAAGGCTCAGAACTTGCTGAAAACATATTTGGGGGTTCATCACAAAGAATGACCTGTTACATCATCTCTTGTTATTTGATTCACTATAAGATTGAAGATAACAATTTGAGCAGCTTTGATAAACTAAAACACCGCAGCTTAAAATATTTCTCAATATTTATGCACACATAGACATGAATTGAAACAAAGTGACTGCAACACCAGAATCCGCGGCGCTTTGAAGTTTCAGTTCCTTGTTACTTTGGGGAAAGTTGACAGATGTTCAGCCTAAAATGCTCCAACACCGAAAAGATAAAAATAAAAGTGAAAGAAAGAGCTCCAAAAGCTTCCTCTGGGCTGAAAGTGTCTGTTTCCCTGGCAGCACTGTTCACTCAGCTGCCACCCACCATTTGTTGTAGCACAGCTCTTTACATGCATACTGTACAGGTACAACGATTCTCAGGATGTTTCACACCAATTCTCTGCAGCTGTCAACTTTAAATTGACTCTGGATGTGTGATTTTTCACACAACCTCTCATTTCCTCCGTCTTGCTGTGTAGGAACGAAACGAAAAGAAAAGAAAAAACCGTCTCGGAGCATCGAAGCGTGCCTGGGAATTATCATGAAACTGTGAGGTGTAATTGCACAGATAACAAAACGCCGCAGTAAATTCTGTCTGCAGTTTTTATACACGGGGATGAATTTGGTGATTTCCTTCATTTTTTGTCCCTCTGACAACCCCACATACTTGCTGCTACATTTAACAATGGCAGAGAATCAACTCACTGTTTCAGAAAAACCGTCATCAGTGGCCATGCTAACTAGCTTTAGCATCCATGGCAGACTCCAGTGTGGAGAACTGGCTGCACACAGAGCGGTGTATTTCTTCAGATGACAAGAAGACCACAGGAAAAAATGAGCTCATATTTTTTCAAAGATTGTCTGTCTCATATTCTACTGTCACCGCTTAGTGATGGCATTAACAAATATGCAAAGAAAACATTAAAAAGTTACGCAGTGCAGCTGTGAGGTCCTGTTTAAGGGAATGCCTCTCATTCGTAATTAAGTCCAACTGAACCACACAAAAAGTACAAGCAAGTTAAGATTATTGTGGTACAAAAATATGTGTCTTCTGCATTACTTGTTCACGTGTGTGATTTTGAACTTCTATTATGTTCGAAATAAACAAAACAAAAAGTGAAAAGATTTTCTGGTAGCTAGCAGAATTCAAGGTTCCATGCATTAACATCAGTGTGCAATAAAGCAGCTACAACTTATAATCGAAACTATAACTGTGTTTGACTTTTGATATGGTGTTTCTGTTTCTGACTCACAGTTGCCATTTCTACCGAGTCTCTCTCTCACTCTCTTTTTAAAAAATTTTTTTAATAGCTGAAACATAAACACTGACCTTAAGAAATCACGACTGGTTGTGGCTTATAAAATTGAAAACAATTTTCCAAAACGTTTTTGGTTAATTGAAGAAAGTTTTTCATTTTTTATTCATTTATTTATTTTTATTTTTTGTACAGTTAGCCAGGTCTGCACAGATAGCTTTTCCCTTATTAATAAAAACATAAAGACAACTTTTTCTATTTGCTCAGGCTCTCTCTAACGTTGCATTTTTTGTGGAAAATCTCTAAAGGGACAAATACTTTCCTTTTTGTACAAATAAAGGAGCTTTTACCTGATAAAGTCTGAATAAAATGCACCGTGTCACCTCTACCGCACGACTCTCTCTCACACACGAAGCCTGGGAGACGAAAGCTTTTATTCTCTCCAAAAGCACCAACATTGTCATTTTGTTGGATGCACCAAAGTGACGCAGGAAAAAAAAAAAGAAAAAAATTCCGAAAGCTTCCCAGAAGAACCCTAAAAATGGACTAATGTTCATTTCAAGCCTCTCCTCCACCCATCCGTCTTAATGGAGGTCCTGTATGACCTGAAAGCTGCTGCCGAACCAAAAGGCTGCTGGAGAACATGGGGAATTTATGATTATTTTCATCTCCAACAAATATTTGCTTCTGGGATGACAGAGGGGTAGAAAGGTAGAGTGTAGTGATTTATCAGCGAAACTTTAATCTTCAATGTGATCCCCAGCACAAGAGTAGATAAGCTACTCTGTGAAAAGCAGAAATCTGTTTTTTTGTATTATTATTTTTTGGTTTGTTTGTTTTTCTTGCCTGACTCTTACAGATAAAGTCTGGTCTTATAAATAATAGCCGTCAATCCGGACCTGCAATGAGTTCATAAAGTCATAAAACAGTTCTGGATGGGGGGTGGGTTCTGCGTATCTCTGAGGGTCAGACATATATGTCGTGAATGTGCAGTTGCTCTTTAGAGCCTTGTTGTAGAGAAAAACACAAAAATGTGTCCCTGCTTCCTGGGGCCGTTGTGGGAGACCCTCAGAGCCAGCAGAGGGCAGCTGAACGCAAAAGGTTTGAGCTTCTTCTGCAGGACATGGAGCCACAGTGACATAACACCAACATGTGCTTTGCATCAATACATTTGGTGCTTGGCATTCAGTCTTATTCATAAATGCACTTGCAGAGTTCCATAAATAAGCCACAAGTTTTGTTTTTTAAGAAGCGTGTTCAGTAATAATAAAAGCTACCAACTTTTGTGTCTATTTATATTTGAGTCGATGTTGCTCTCAAGAGAGAATCCCAACATTTTTGGGGGGATGTTAGTCCTCTGTCTTTTGACTGCCCTTTCTCTTACCTGTACAGAGCAATTACATCTCAAATTAATTCCATTTTTTTTTGGCCTATGCGTGGCTCCATATAAGTGTCCCCCATTTGCCCACTGTTTTCAAAACTTCAGTTTTGTGCTATAATGCTGATGGTGTTTTTTTTCTCTCTGCCTCCCCTTTACTTTGTGGCTTACGTATTCTCCTTCAAAATAAAAGTTGTCCTCAAACGTTTTGTTACCTAAATTACTTGAATTTTAGATAAAGACTGTTGCTTACTCACGAGACAAAAATAGCTCAATTCAAATGACGTGAAGGGGCGGAAAACATCTAAACATGACTCAAAACACCGTGTTGGCTTGTGTTGCTTAACAGAGTGTGCCTAAATGTAACCTGGATTATTTGCATAACATTTCCACAGACAGGGGTCAATATTTATCCGATAAATTTAGCTAAATTGAATGTCTTTGTGGCCCTAGGAATCTTTAAGATGCCCGACAGGTTTTGGGTTGTTATGGCGATAAAAGTTCGTAATGGCGTCGACGGCAGCCGAAGCCTAGACTGAATTCTCCACCTTGAGTGACAATAAAGAAGATTTTACAGATATTTTGCAGAGGTAAGCTCCACCCTCTGTTGCTCAGCGTGTGTTAGTATTGTTAGCGTCCTTATCACTACTTTATCAGCCGCTATTATTTGGTCTATATTGTGGTTTAAACGTGGTTCTGGTTAGCATAATGCTAATGCTGCTTTGGATACATGTTAAGGAAAATGTTAATAATGACGCTTCTGTTTCCTTTTTGGAGCTGCTGCTGCTATTGTAATGGTAATGTTTGGTTGATGTCATAATATTTGCTAAACTGGTATTGTATAAATACCATTTTGTACAATAGAGCCGAGTCAGTCTATTAATATTCATATGTGTAAGATTCTTTTTCTTTCTTTTTTTTTTGCTTAACACCTGACTTTCAGGTGCATCCAGGGGGTTTTCTTGGTTAAGTCCCTCTGATTTCTGGGTAATTTTATGTGAGAATGTTTTCCCGCGCCAGTGTTTTGTTTCTATTGGGTCAAAGTCGTCTGGTGTCATTCTTCTGAATTTAATCAAATGTAGCCCGTTCAGAGTTAAACTTGCAGGCAGTACATTAGTTTGGTGTTTTTCGCAGTTCTGATTGGATGAGCTGTTTAATCCAACACGATCAGATTTAATCTTCACGATTAAGTCAGTGTCAACATGACACCTTTTAATTGTTCAGCAGACAATTAGAAGACCTGTTGAACAGACCTGTTAATTGTAGCTAATCTGACCTTTGATGTTATATTGCTATGTGAAGAATGTTATATTATTGTGGAATTGTATGTATATATCTCTTTGGAGGCTGGTGGAAAATATCTCAGCGGGGAAAGATTGGCCAACAATTTTTTTTCCCCTAAACCAAAATAAGGGTTTAAATGAATGGTGTGTGTGTGTGTGGTGGAAAAAAAAAACAGGAGTCATATTAGTTTCATACTTGAGTTGCTTCATTGTGAAAGGACGGGATGTCACTGTAACATTTTTCTCAGGCCAGCTCGTGAGAAGTTGGTAACGAGCGCGAGATTTCTCTCTCTCTCTCTCTGTCGGAGTGACGCAGTTTTTATTGAAATGTTCTACCTCACGTTGCTTGTTTGACACAGTGAAGAGCTGGAAAAGTATTGACTATTGACTTCCTGTCGTCTGTAACCAAACTCCAAGAACAGACTCCTCCCTCCTGGAGTTGTCCTGGGAAACACTAACAACTGCTGGAAAGCCGTCCCTGTTCGCCAGTGGAGGACACACACGGGGAGGAAAAGTTACACCGCGGTTCTTCTGATTCCTGTTGCTAACCCAGGACGTTTCTGTCCCAGCTCCGAAGTCTTGACTGCGGGGGCCTGTGCTGGGAGGATTATTATGCGTTTAAAGGCTGCGCCCTCTTCACACTGACTGAGCTTCAGCTGCCTGAGGTAAGAGAGAGAGAGCAGCAAGTTTCCCTGCTTAGCTCGCTGTGTTGAACCTGATAGGAACGCAGCCCGGGTTGCTTGCCGCTTTTGTTAGTTTCGCCGGCGTTTTTACGCTGAGAGAAAAAGTTTGTGAATGGCCGCGGCGGCGCTGGGCTTTGACTTGTTGCTCGGTAGCCATGACATCTCGGCTCGGCTGCGGCCTGTGAGGGATCTTCTCACGTTGCTGTGAGCTTAAAGACGTCGCCTTTACAAGTCTGAAATAACACTACAAATAAGAGTTGAAACGAGTTGTATCTTCTCATATTGTGCGCTATGTTAATAGTAACAGCACCGAGCTAACTGTGCGCTCTGTCTAACGGTATTAAACACATTTTTGTGCAACTATGGATGCATATAATGATGCTCATGAGAACTACCCAGCCTCCACGGTTTACTTTGGAGTAATTGCAATAACTTTTTATGCTGCTAAAACCTTTTTCGGATGAAACACACTAAGATAATCCTAATGTAATCGATAGGAAGCAGACATACTGTGGCTTGTGGGATATTTTCATGACTTAATCACACATTTCTGTATGCTTGATTGGGGCATCAAATAGAGATGCGTCAAGTCTGGACTTTGACTGGACCATTTTGGTTTATAAATAGTTAATTTAAAAAAAATCTAAATTATTTAATTGTAGCATTAGGTTTGAGTTTAGGCTCTTTTACCCTGTTAGAAGGTGGACCTCCACCTCATCCTTAAGTCTTGCTAAGAGGTGTTTTACACACCTACCCTTCCTTTTCCCTGTTGTTGGAAAAAAAAGGAAAGAAAAACATCCCCTCAGCATGATGCTACCTCTACTGTGTTCCAGGACAGTAGATTTTGATTTCTTCTTTCCAATCTTCCATAAAGGTCACGTTTGCTGACTTCCTGATTAATAATCGTTCTGTTAATATAGTATGCAGGGCTTTATGCAGGTGCTTGAAATCCTTGAAGATGCTTGAATTTCAGTTAGGTGTTTTCAAGGTTTTTAAAGTATTTGATTTCTTTAAAAAGTGCTTGATATTCAAGCCACACTATTTTGTTATAAAGTGAAATCTGACATCTGTTAAACAAAAAACTCAACTTGGAAAATGTTTACAGTCGAAACCAGATATTTTCATGCACCCGATAAAGAGACATTTGTAGTCTTAGTTGAGTTGTGACTTAACATTTTTTGTTTTAGACCAGTTAGAGTTTCCAAAACTATTTCTATTCGTCAAATGCCAGAAAAACTTGGTAAGGACATTTTTGATTTTGTTTTTAAAAAACTATAATTCCTAACGGCTCAAAGACTTATTGATACAGTTGAAATAAAAGTTGGTGTTAAAGTTCAGAGTTTTTTGTTGTTAAATTAGTGTTTTGTTCTCTCTGAGCTGTGAGTCACCACTTCTCTGACCAGTTGAAGATGCTGTTTGTTCACTAATGTTAATCACGCCTCGAATCAGGTGACTTCTTGCAATTGTTCTAGCTTTGCTTCAGGAGTGTCACCTTGTCAGACTTTTATTTGCTAAAACAAAACAAAAATTATAGCATTTCCTATCAGGCTTAGACTTCTCCACCTCCTTGTGTTGATTCATCATACAAAATTAAAATAGGAATATGTTGATGTTAATTATTCTAGTGGCTCCAGTTGCATCTGAAGGTTTCCAAAGCCCAACTGCAAGCAGGGACTTCGCTCGGATCTAATTCATGCTTGTGAGCTGCTCTGCACACATGTGGAAGGGGAAAAACAGAGCCCCTCCTGACTCATTTACACCCGCTTGACCTCATCCACTTAAACATGTTCAAAGGGACCGGGGACATTAACATGGCCGCCCTCCGGTTCCCCTTGAGTTTGCCCTGAAGTTTGCGGCACAAGCCTCATCTTCCTCACCGTCCACGGTGACTTAACTTGGACTTTGTCCCACTCTGCCTGAGCCAGAGTGCAAACCACTGCTGTGAGGCCCATCTGCTGCCTTCTCCAGAAGAGACTGAAAGTTCCCTTGCTGACCTGATCCACACTGATGCTAACATTCCTTTTTATGTGATTATGAGCATGCTTTTTATTGCTACATTGAAAGGTGGAAAAAAACCCTAGAGTTTAGGTTTTTTTTTGTTTTGTTTTTTTTTTGCAGAATCTGGCAATATATTTCCTGCAACAATACTAGCTTATATATCTGAATCTATATCCATGATTGTAGGTTAGCTATTTACAGTCCTCATACTAATAAAAGTTCTCACCAGGCTACATTTTAGAGGAATGTAATAGAGCTATGACTTCATCCGGAAATGTCTTACAACGTGGGTGCGTCAGATTCATGGCATAATTTCACTTCTTCTGATAACTACATTTTAACCTGAGTGTGTCAGATGAAAGTCAGATTGTGTGAGTGTGTGTGTGTGTGTGTGCGTGTGTGTGTGTATTCCAGTCTGGTGGAGACTCCTTAAAAAGACGTGGGTTTTTGGTAACCTGCTCTTAAGGACTGAAGCAGCCAAGTGGTCAAGGAGTATATTATTGGAGCTCCATTTGATAGAGCAACATAAGATAGCACATCATTAAGAAGGGGAAGAAGATCAATGATGCATTGGATTAATCATTACTATTTATTTTACAATTAACATAGAATACTGCTAAATAATGTCCAGTGACCTTCAGAGGTCAGAAGATGGTAAATGTAGCAATTACTGTGTAGTTTATCATTTATTGCGACAAATTTCTTATTTTCTCCATGGGCTGTTCAATGAGGTCAAAAAACATCGCAAAATTTAAAAATCTGATTAAATGCACTTTCTGCAAGCAGTTTCATGATTTAAATCAGACTTCTTTATGTGACTGGTGTCCAGAAGAAGCCAATAAGAATTGGGAATGCAGGTGTGGGATGCTACTCTTTTGCTGAAGGTGCTGCAGGTGCAGGGGAGCTGGTCAGAGTTGATTGGAAGATGGGTGGAGCAAAGGAAAAGGCACTTCTGGAAGAAAACCAGCTGGAGCTACAGACAAAAGTTTTAAAATGGTTCAGTCAAAGTTTGACAAAGTCTACATCCAATATGTCTGAACCTGAGCTGTTTAGTGCAAAAGAATGGATAAAATTCCAGTTTCTAAAGAGCCAATTTGGGGACTTTAGACTTGCAGCTGAATCTGATGAGGAAGGTGACTCTACATCAGCTTGTGTTAATGGTACATCACATAAAACTCCAACAAAGTCCGCAGAAGTTTGTGTTTGCAGATTTACAAAAATCAAAAAAAGGTTAAGGTGTTACATTCACACCGTTTGCAAAGCACTATATGTATGGAGAACAAAGGATCAAACTTAAAAGCTAAACCTCTTTCTTGTGGCGTTCTTCAGTCCTAAAGACGTGCAAACAGTTTTAAATCCCTCATCTAAAAATAAGATATCGCTGCCTCCTGTAATTTTAGCTGGTGCCTTGAACCATTACCATTGTGTCAGAGTGGGTGCAACACAATGGATTTTGCTCCGGCGTTCTGACAGAGGTGTCCTCGCAGCATCCGAGTGGCTCAGCTCGCTTTCCGTTTAACCAAATGCGCATTAGCCTGATTTTTATGTCGCTCCCAGCAGAAACCCAGGCTCACCCATGAGGCCGCCCCCCTCAAAAGAGAGAAATATGTATTTATCTCTGGCGCTAAACACAAAATGAAAGAGGAGATGGCCTCCCATTTTAAGGACTGTAAATTTCCATGAGGATTCCGCTGGCTCCAAGCTGAACCCAGCCAATTTCTCATCTTCACAAACCCCCTAATTTAATGATGATGGAGGATGCGCGGCGTGTCAGCCTTATAATTACACTGTATTTACCATAGGATGGAGCTTCCAGGTACTCGTTCATCAACGGGTTCTGTCTCATGGCTCTCCTTCTCTGTTTGCCGAGGTGGGTGACGGCTCAATTCCCTGCTGATGTTCACAATAAAGCCTTGACTTAGTTTTTGTTAGGACTGGAATTGCCGGAATCCTCTCGGCCCCGCCAAACAACAGCTGAGCGTATTGTTTCTGAAACGGCGTCCGCCGCTGCGGTAGCTTGAGCAGCGTTTTTCTATCATCCCGGAAATTGTCGTGTTGGCTTTGTTGTTGGCTTTTTTTTTTTTTTTTTTTTTTGCTTGTGGTAATTTTTCCAGGCTTTCCACTAAGATTGTAATTTTTTTTTTGGGTCCCCTGACGTATTTGTAGCTTGCTGACATTGACGTATGCATGGAAATTAGGCATAGGACGATTCTTGCTGTCAAGGCTTTAAGACGTTACGGTTTAAAATATTCTTCCAAGTTTTCCGTCATGTCATCACTACGGCTTAAAGTCTTCTTAAAGAGATGCCAGAGAGCATGCCGGGCATAACCAGACTTTTTTCCAACTTTAGGGAGTGTAAAGAACCGCCGCTTCAAGAAATGCACATTTGACCGATTAGAAAAGTTTCCTTTTGCATAAAACGCAGATAATAATGTTGTGGAACTAGTGGAGTTCACTCGTATAAATAAAAATGTCATAGTTCAAACTAAAAAACAGCTTATCTGTTACTGTAAGGAGACTGCAGGCTCGGAGATTTTACTCCCATAAACGCCCACAACAGAGTTATAATTTAATAGCTTTAATGTATAGAAAACGTTTTGGTGACACTGTGATGAAAGAATGGAAGAAAAAAAGTTTTATTGTCATCCATATTGCCATCGCAACATTTGACAATAGTTTCTCAGTTACACATATGGCTGATATTGTGCAACGTTACTCCTGCTGTTCTCCTTTCTGCCTCAAGCTAAGCTGTTAAACCTCACCTAAGAGCGTAAGCTTTACAATTTGTAGAAACTTAAATGTTTAACGATGCCAATGTGTGCAATGTTGATGTTGCCAAGCACTCATGAGTCATGTTCAGGCTGTGATGAAGTCTCTCAGAGGTATCTACACCGGATAGTAGCGCCCAAGATGCTAAAGGTCACACACGGACAAGAAAGAACGGAGGGAGGAGGCTGTGTTTTTATCTGAACCAATACTGTCAT